GTGGACTGGGGCTGGAAGGGGGTGTGGATGGGGTGTGGAGAAGGGGTGAACAGGGGCTGGAGAGTGAGAGGACAAGGATGCAGAGCGGCTGGTAGAGAGGGTGGGGGAAAAGGGGAGACAGGTGGTAGACAGGTTGGGGGAGATGTTGGGGGAGAGGGTTGGGGAGAGGAGGAGAACAGAATAGTGAAGAAGGTGGTGGAGAGGAGGTGGACAGGGGTGGGGGAGGAAGTGATGTGGTTGGTGGGGGGGATTGGTGAGCAGAAGGGCTGTTTTCTTTTAAGCTGACTTCCACAGGAGACCATAATGTCAGTCAGCTTGAACTAAAATGGCAGCCCAGGTCAGTACTGGGTCTGGACTGAAGTGGATCAGTGCAGGAGAGGTCAATGACCTTCTGTGCTCTGCAAGGGTAAGTGTGACTATCTTCACTCTGCTACCGCTAACCCACACAATCACTATTGATTCTAACTGACATTGCACAGGCCTCTCTGAATGTCATGCAACATTGCCACTTAATTGCTCTCACCAACCTCATCCTCCCAAACTGCAAACCCTTCCCGCTCTCCACACTTTCTACTCACTTACTGGGGACACCTCACCATCTCTCCTGCTCTTAATTAACTGCTCTTCCATCTAATTTCATCCAACTCAATTCCTTTCTTTATCTCATTGCAGGAAATATTGGCCCAATGACTGGGTCAAGAAGTCCAAGACCGGTAGGGGCCTGATGGAAATCAGGTTCCTTACTGCCTATGATGAAAGAAACACTCCAGTGTTACCTCTTGATTGATAGTAGTTTCCTGAAGGACTGCTTCCTTTTGACTGATACACATGGTCATATGTTTGTCGTGCACATAGAATATATGTTGAGTAAACTCTGGTACATGCAGCAGTTCTAACACTGGTGTATCACAATGCCACACAGCAAGATGTGCACCTCTTACCTAATTGATAGATTGGCTGTTCAGTGCTCCCCAATGTCACAAACTGCCTGGTCTTTGCGCTCTGTGCTAAAAAGCAATGGAAGCCACAGGGGCTGGCAGCTTGTAACTGAGCACTAAAGACCTTGTGTGGTATGAAAACAATGTGACCACGCAGATGCTGCAACCCATAAATTAGTGCTGAAGTCAGTGAGTTCATACTAAGAAAACAATGTGAAGTATAGAAAGGTTGGCTGTCTCTAAGTAAGCGGTAAAGTGAGTGAGCACTAAGAAAATGAGCTAAGAACCATTAGTTGCAAGTATTATTTGAGCAGCAAAGCAGTGTGTGTGTGTGTGTGTGTGCGTGTGTGTGTGCGTGTGTGTGTGTGTCTACTGATAGGTGACCTGGTAGAAGCACGCAAGTCAAAAATGTCCCTGAGCTACAAAATGTTGAAGGTGCCTGAGATGGTATGAGAGCTGGCGTGATGAAGTGTTAGGTCTTGCTGATGCTGACTGTTGCGGATGAGGTTTCAATGAGGATGATGGCCATGGAGAATGCAGGGACATTGTCTGATTGAAATGTGGGAAATTGGAACATTGTAATTTCTCCATTGTGATGGAGAGGACAGTTGGAAATGGTGTATAATGAAGGCAAGTTGGGGCATTTATGAGATGCAAGTGCATAGAAATGAGGTGGTCATTGCTCAAAGGTGAAACTCTAAAGTCACCATTCACGGCTTGAAGGGTTAACAGGGAATTTTTTTTCTCGATATTGAGATTCTGGTTTTCATTCACACTGTACTGTCCCACTTCCCTTGTTATTACTCACACCACACTAGGGAGGGGAAGATTCCATGCAAGGCTTTAATAGTTGCCAGCAAAATTAGGCATTTGTACCAACCAATGAATGGCCTGGATAATCTCAATAGTTTAATATGGTTTATGCCCGGACCATTTAAAAAGGCTTCTGCAGCCAAAGATCCTTTGCCTTGCTGTAATTGGTTCATGATTCATGGAGGATCAAAAGCTTTAGGTACATGAGGAGGAAGTGTTCGTGGGTTTGATATGAATTGGATTGGGATACTCAGAAAATTTCCATTAATATTTCTGTATCATGGCAGCCTTTTAGTTTAGCTTAATCCAATTAATAATAGGGCTAGTTAAATACGGCTGCACTAATAATGCTGTTAGTGTTGCCATTTGCAGCTTCAGATGAAAGCCTGTCATTTAAAGAGATCAGATGTATTCTATTTTAGCATCGGGAATTAAGTTTAAGCTTAGGTCAAATTTATGAGGTCAACTGATGCAAAAAAACAATAAAAGGCATTTCCAGATATCTAGTTTGCTGAAACCGCCTGTTAATGGTTGTCTCATGTTATTACATAGACCACATAACATGGTCCATTACAGCAATACTTGCAGGCAGTTCACAATAATCTTGTAACCCTTTCCATCTATAATAGACAATAGATATAAATAAATTTGATTGCATTCTGTAATTAGCTGCTTTAACTATTTAGCTCATATAAATATGTCTACTGCTGAGAAAATGCATTGAAATCAAGGAGGGAAGTGACCAAATGACAATAGAGAATTGGGTTTACATAATATGTTGATAATTATGTTTTGTATCTATTTCATAGGATGATGCAATAAAAACCGAAAGGAGTGCAGATGATGTAAATCAGAAATAAAAATAGAAATTGCTGGAAAGGCTCAAAAGATCTGGCAGTATCTGTGGAGAGAAATCAGACTTAATGTTTTGGGTTGAGTGACTGATGGTAGCTAGGAAAATGTTGGTTTATATGCGGAAGATAGGGTGGGGGTGAGTTTATAAAGAATAAACGATAGATGGGGATAGATCCCAGGGAGATAGAAGAGCAGTGGCAGTTAGACAGACAAAGGATTAGGTAACAATCTCACTAGAAGGGATTAGCTGTTAATGGGGACTGTTAGTGGTTAACAGTGGGCGACGTGCAATAGCAGGCCATGTGATAACAAGGCTTGGTTGTGGGAGTTGGGCTCAGGGCATGGGAGAGCTCAAGGCCTAAAGTTATTGAACTTGATATTGAGTCTGGAAGGCTGCAGTGTCTGCAGGTGGAAAATGAAGTGTTGTTCTTCCAGCTTGCGCTGAGCTTCACCAGAGCACTGCAGTAAGCCACAGAGATGTTGGTCAGGGAACAGGGTGGTATGTTGAAGTGGCAGGCAACTGGAAGTTCTGGGTCTTTTTCACGAAAAGAATGCAAATGTTCTGCCGCGAAGCGGTCAACCAATCTTTGCTTTGTTTCCCCAGTGTAGAGGAGACCACATTGTGAGCAATGAATGCAGTAGACCAGATTGTGGAAAGTGCAGGTGCTGCTTCATCTGGAAAGTAGGTTTGGCCCCTTGGATACTGAGGACGGAGGAAGTAACAGACAGCTGTTACACCTTCTGTGGTTGCAGCAGAAGGTTCTGTGAGGCTGTGGGGGGTGTTGGGAGTGAAGGAGGTGTGGACTAGGGTGTCCCAGAGGGAACAATCCCTGCAGAAGGCTGAAAAGGGAAGGGAGGGGAATATGTTTCTGGTGATGGCATCTTGCTGGAGGTGACAGAAATGGCAGCTAATGATCCTCTGGATGTGGATGCTGGTGGGATAGTAGGTAAGGACAAGGGAGACCTTATCCTTGTTGCTGGAGAGAAGAGAAAGGTGAGGGCAGAAGTGCAGGAGCTGGGTTGGACATTGCTATGGGCCCTGTCAACAACGGTGCTGGGGAATCCTCATTTGAGGAAGAAGGTGAACATTTTGGAGGCTCCCTTGTCAAAGTTGTCATCATCCGAACAAATGCGATGGAGATGGATGAACTGAGAGAATGCAATGGAATCTTTACAGGAAGCAGGGTGTGAGGATGTATAGCCCAGGTAGCTGTGGGAGTCGGTGGGTTTATAGTGGCTATTGGTGGCCAGTCTATCCCCAGAAATGGAAACAGAGATGTGAAGGAAGGGAATGGAGGAGTCAGAGATTGACCAGATGAAGGTGAGAGCAGAAGTGAAATTAATAAACGTCTCCAATTCAGGACGAGAGACAGAGGAAGCATTGATGATATCATTGATATACCAGAGAAAGAGTTGTGGGTAGGGGCCGGAATAGGACGGGAACAAGGGTTGTTCCACATACCCCACAAAGAGACAGGCATAACTGGGGCCCATGCGCATGCCTATGGCCACCCCTCTGACCTGAAGAAAATAAGAGGAGTTAAAAGAGAAGTTGTTCAGGGTGAGGACGAGCTCAGCCAGATGGAGGAGGCTGTTGGTGGAAAGGAGACAGTTCAGGCTTTTGTTCCAGGAGGAAGCGGAGAGCCCTGAGACCATCCTGGCAGCGGATGTACATGTAAAGGGATTTTTCTTTTGACCTGCTTAGTCCAGCAGGATCAAAGAGGAAAACCATTGTAGCAAAAGCTCCACATGCAATGCAGCACATTCGAAAATAGTGGTATAAATAGTCAATGCATGTTTGAATTTGGGTCGAAGAGAACCTAAAACGAAAAATCTATCACAAGTGGCAGAAATGCATCCTCTTAAGGAGAACTCATCTTATTAAGTCAGCTTTATGTTGATGAGTCTCCGTGAACCAATATGTAGCGCAGCACACTGAAAACTGATTTTCTAAATAAATATGCTTAATAAAGTAAGAAATCAGGCTGAGATAATAATTTTTTAAATACCCTATTCTTCAAAAGCTAGGCCAGCTATTTGCTTTTGACACAAATGTCTTTGCTTAGTCAGAGGTTATTAAAATCAAACTATAACATTTAGCTTATCTACAATTACAATGAAGATAATCTCTTAAGCAAGCTAAAGTTTTTGTTTTATATATTAACTTACAGTGCAGCTATTCCTGTGACATTAACATGGAAGAAAATACTTAGAGTAAATTTAGAAAAGAGTTTTTAAATTATCAAGCTATTACTTTATGTATTCCAAAGGTCAGTCACAGGGGTACTGAAATGCTGTTTTACATTGATTAGTCTTCCCTTGAAGCATTAATATAAACATATTATAATATTAATATAATAATTATATTATAATATTGACATAATCATTACTTACGAAACATAGTCATGTACTGTTTTGGGTTGAGATTCCAGTGACCCCAGTTTGTTCGGTAGCCATGGAGATTTGCATAATCATCAAAGTTGTAGGCTGGCTCTGTGCCAAATGTGTCAATCACCCGAATCCGACACCTAAAAAGCAAAACAGAAGTATAAAAGGTCAATGCTGTATGTGAATTTCAAGTGAAATCTCTGTTCAGTTCAGTGTGCACACTTCCATTGTGAGCAGTGCAAACATCCCATCAAGAACACCAAACATCAGCTATTCCAAAGAAAAGTCATAGTGATTCCTCTGCAAAATGACTTTCTGTTCATTTCACTTGTTAAAAATTACAGATAAAGGAAGGCTCCAAAGCAGTGAGCACTGCTTCCTCAATCTGCCTGGTTAACTCTGAATCCCATATTCTCTTGCACTGTATTGTTGAATTGACTTTTGATGAAGAAATCTGACATCCTTACCTGTCCTTCCTATGCATGAATTTAAACCCACAGAAATGAGATTGCTTCTTTACGGCCCTCTGAAGTGGCCTAGCAATTCCACTCAGTTGTATCGAATTATGACAGAAAAGTAGAAAAGGAATAATATTACACAGATCACTTGACATCTACCTGGGCACTGGAGATGACACTGGCACACTCTGTTCAGTTGATCCTTCTTGGAATGTCTGGGGGCTTGTACTAACAGTAAAGGTCTGTTCCACGCACCAGTCCATCTACAACCCTACAATCGTACCCACTGAATGATACTATCCCAGATTCCACCATCACCATTCCTGGGTAAGGGAGCCCACTCACAAGACCGACAAACCAGAGGTGGTTGCTCAGTGGTATACACTCGGCAGGAAGTAGCCTTGTGCATCTGTTGCATCTCCTTCCTATAGAGTCTGATAGCACCAGGTCAAACATGGATAAGGAAGCATCCTGTTGATTATCACCTCCTGGTCTTCCTTAACTAATGAATCCATGCTGATCACCACTTGAAAGCAGCAGCAAAGTTACTAAGGACACAGAACATACTCTGCATGTAGAACTTTAATGCCCATCTTAAAGAGTGGTTTGTCAGACGTGCATCGATCCACAGTGGTATAGATAGTAGTGACAGTGCTTGTGGCGGCTAAGTCCCACACTGAGATGCAGTGTGTAGTGTAGCACCAAAACTATGATAAATGGATTCAGAACAGATCTAGCAGCTCAAGCTGGTTACCTCATGTCATGGTGGGCCATCGTCAGCAGCAAAATTCTATTCCACCACAGCCTGTAATCTCATGGCTCAGCATACTCCTCATTCTACCCATGCTATCAAACCAGGGATCAATGCAGGTTTAGTGAAATGTGCAGGAGAGCACGCCACAAACAAGCAAATCTATAAGTGAGCTACTAACCGGTTGAGAATATAAAAGACTGAGCTAAATAGCAGAAGCTGCATGCAATATTCAGAGTTCAGCAATCCTGCAAAGTTAAGATCAGATCAGAGATCTGTAGCCTTGTCACATCCAGTCACAAATGAATGTCGCCAATTAAGCAACTACCTGGAGGAAAAAAAGGTCCATAAATATTCCCATCTTCAATAATGGGGGCAGACAGCATGTCAAGAGATTAGGCTGCAGCATTTGCAGGCACCATTAGCCAGCTATGCTGAGTGAATGATCCATCTCAGCCTCCTTTGGAGGACTCCAGTGTCACAGATCCAAGCGTTCAACTAAATTCAGTATCAAGCTGTCATTAAGGGCATTGGATACAGCAAAGCCTATGGGTCCTGCAACATCCTGGCAGTAGTACTGAAAACCTGCCTTCTGGAACTAACCCCATGCCAAACTGTTCTAGTACAGTTACAGGATTGACATCTATATCCTGTTGACATAAAGGACAAATCCAATCCAACCAAATACTGCCCCACGAGTCTACTCCCCATTGTTAGGGAAACGATGGAAGATGCTGTCAGCACAGTGTACAGAATTATATTTACAATAACTTGCTTAATAAGGCTCAGCTTGGATTCTGCTAGAGCTGCTCAGAATTAGATCTCATTATCGTCTTTTACCAAATATAGATAAAAGAGCTGAACAAGAATTGAGGTGAGAGTGACAGCCCTTGACATCAGGGCAGCATATGATGACCATGGCATCAAAAAGCCTTAGCAAAACTAATATCAATGGAAATCGGAAGTATATCTCTCTACTAGTTGGAATCATACCTACTACAAAGGAAGATGGTTGTAGCCATTGGGAGCCAATCATGTCAGCCCGAGGACATCACTGCAGGAATTCCTCTGGGTAATGTTTAAAGTCCAACTATCTTCAGCTACTTCACCAATAACCTCCCATCGATCATAAAGTAAGATATGGGATACTGGTTGATTATTGTAAAATGTTTATTACAATTCACAGCTCCACAGAAACAAAAACAGTCAATGTCCATATTGATACGTAGAATGATGGGGATAACAGAGCCCACTCATGTGTATGAATGTGTTACGGAGAGAAGGTCTAACCCTTCTGATTATTAAAACTGAAACACCCAGAGAAGCTCGCTTTGTAATCTGCTAAAGGGAATTGGAAAAATGGTACAACCTACCTTTTACTTCCCAATCTGTTAAAAATGAAATCCTTTCACTCACTCAATAAGCAACAAGTAACAACTTATTTATCTAATGCTAACAGTGAACAAATTAACAGATCTTCTAACAAACAGAACAATTCCCCCTTAACCATTAACTAATCCTGAATAAAACAAAATTCTAATGGTATGCTGTTCTAATACATACAAATGCCACTTAAATAACTCAAAGTAATAAGAAAAAAAAAATAAATTAAAGCTTAAACTCTCAAAACTACAGTTAGAATGCATCTTCTTGAATGCTCTGCCCTCCCCGCTGATCCTTAGCCAGGTACACCTTCTCCGTCAAATTCTGGTGTCCGAAACGTCTCTTTCCATCGAATTCCAATGTCAAGAATATTAGCTAAGAGTGTCGTGGTACCTTTTAGATAGTGCTTAATCAGAGAGCTTAAAGGTTTCTGTGAGAGCCAGTGATTTACACTTCCGATGGCAGTTCGCTCTCACACCAATTTTCTAATGCCTTCTTCTTTTAAACCCTTGATGACCTGTCAATTTTCTTATAATAGGATTGGTCTTAGGTTGTCAACACCATCAGATTTAAAATCAATTGGTTTTCAGTCTCTAAGTGCCTAGTTAAAATTAATTGGCTGATATTCAAGCTAGTTGCCTTAACATCAAATTGATACATATGCTTTAATTTCAGAACTGTCGGTACATCTGCAGCTGCTTGCAGACACTTTTGTTTAAATCTCCAAGCTTAGAAAAGCACATCACCTCTTCAAGGGACAATGCACTCTTCCCCCAATCATTTTTACAAGTAAGTTCTAACTTCCTCCCTTTCAGTTCACAACTACCATACACAACTTTGCAATAAATGTGATAAAATATGTTTTTCAGAGATACTACTGAAGATCAAAAATGGCATAGATTAGTGTAGTTCGTAATAATAGTCTGATAAATAAGGAGTAACATTTATGTAACACAAGTGATAGACAATGACTGTCATGAACTAGTGAGAATCTAATTATCTCCCCTTGACATCCAATGGCATTTCCATTGTTGAATTGCCCACTGTCAACATTGTGGTTGGGGGGATATCATTTATTCCGCAAGGGTCTCAGGATCCTGGAGCAACATTATGACGAGGGCATGGAGTTGCTGCTCACTGGGCATAACCAGTACAGTGTGGGTGGAGTTAGTGAAGGAAGAGAGAAGCACAGGGGAACATAGGCAGAAGCTTGAGGGCTAACCGTATGGTTATAGAAACATGTGCAGGGAACCACATGGGGCAGATTGAATAGCACTAGATAGTACAGTTCATGGAGCAGTATTTCTGTAACCGAACAGCAAGATTATATTCTGGTACATCTCTACATATCACGTATTGTAATATTTAGCTTGAATATATATCCAACAGTTTTATAATGAAGTCCAAACCAAACATTTCTCAACCAGTCTGTCTTGAACCAAACTCATTGATGTGAGCATTAATCCACACAACAGAGGATGAAGGCAGCAATAAGACCACTGCCAAGAAAATTATGATAACAGTGAAGATCAAGAAACAGACCTGCAATCATTTGGAGAAGAATAGAACTGCAAAAAAGAGTCACTTTTCAAAAAATTATTATTATAACTTTAAGACATGCCAGAAACACCACTGAACTGTCCATCTGTTATGAAGGAAAGGCATCTCTGAACATTTATTGAAAAAATCTATCAAAAACAACAGTAATTCAGAATAAAAGGCTTTTACAGCCAGTAATAAAGGAAAGAAGCTTTAAGAGAAAAATTGAGAGCAGTAAAAGCAGGCAAGGGGTTAAATCCAAATTGAGCATTCATGAAAGGAGGCCGATCACTGGACAACAAAATGAATTCAATCCATTAGAGGAAAGTTTGTTTCTATCTGAAAACTAGGCTGGAAAACAGATCTGAGACTCCTAACAGTGATTTAATAATTTCTAAGCTATTTAACTGACAACTAAATTAATCATACGCAAATTAACAAAGTGTTTCATTAACAGGCTTAAAGTAAATCAATGGAGAAAAAGCTCAGGAATAAAAAAATATTTATTGGAATTACAAATTTCAGAGTTCTAATGGTGAAGTTCATTCAATCTTTATTATTCTGATGGTTTGAACAAGAAATGCAAGTTTAAATCAACTACTAAAAAGTTATACTGTTTTAATCACTACAATATAACAAATTGGACCGGAAGAAAATGTATAAATTTGACCACATGGTGTCAAATTCAGCAGGAAAAATATTTCAGATTCGGGAAAAAAATCACCACAAAAAATGTAACAGCAATCATCTTTTGTAGTTAAAAAAAATCGATGAATCTTATTGATTGATGCAATTAAAAGAAAGTTTCTACCCCCAGATGTTTTAGAAATCCTTCACCCATATTGGAAAAGGAATACCTTTATTCATTTCTGAACTTGCCCTTTTGATAATGAAGAAGCAGTGTGTTAACTATGTAAAGAGCAAAATAGTATTTGACCAGAGGACAGAGACCTCTCATTTGAAAATGTACTGTATTATACAACATCAACATAAAATTCTAAGCAATCTA